CAGATCATCCCAGTTCAGCCTGGTACTAATCAATTCGGCTTCATCCAACCCGGCTCAGCTTAGCTAGCTAACTAAGTTCAGTGCAGCCTGGGCCATTCCAGCTATCTCAGTTTGGTTCAGCTCAGTCCAGCCTGGATAAATCCAGCAAGGTTCAGCCCGGCCTGGCCAATCCCCACTAGCTGTTTGGTTCAGCTCCGCCCAGCTAGCCTAGCTTCCTACAGCCTAGCTCAGCTCAGCTGGCCCCACTCCCTTCAGCTCAACTCAACTCAGCCTAGCTTGGAACATGCCAGCTCATCCCAATCCTGCTCAGGTCAGCTTCTTCCAGCCTAGCCCAGCCCAGCTAGCCCAGCTCAGTTCAGCTCATTGCGGCCCATCGCAGCGGGTTCAGTTTGGCTCAGCGCAGCCCCACTCAGCCCAGCCAGCCTTGCTCACTTCAGCTCAGCCCAGGCCAGCATGGATCATCCTAGCTTGTCTCCATCTTGCTCGGCCCAGCTTTATCCACTTCAGCCCACCTCAGCCCAGTTCAGCTAGCCTCACTCACTTCCGCTTAGCTCAGCCCAGCTCAGCCTGGCTCAGCCCAGCTAGTCCCGCTCAGTTCAGCCCACCTCAGCCCAGTTCAGCTAGCCTCACTCACTTCCGCTTAGCTCAGCCTAGCTCAGCCCAGCTCAGCCCAGCTCAGCCCAGCTAGGCCTGCTCAGTTCAGCTCATCTCCACTCAGCTCAGCCCAGCTCAGTTCAGCCCAGCTAGCCTAGCTAGCCCCACTCAGTTTAGCTCAGGTCAGCCCAGCTCAGCCCAGCTCAGCCCAACCAGCCCAGCTAGCCCCATCCAGTTCAACTCAGTTCAGCACAACTAGCCCCATCCAGTTCAACTCACTTTAGCCCAGCCAGCCCTGCTCAGTTCAGCTCAGCTCAGCCCAGCCCTGCTCAGGTCAGCCCAGCTAACCCAGCTAACCCAGCTAGCCCCACTTGGTTCAGCTCAACTCAGCCCAGGTGACCCCACTCAGTTCAGCTCCGCTCAGCGTTGCTTCATTCCGCTCAGCTCAGCCCAGCTCAGCCCAGCTCAACCCAGCTAGTCCCGCTCAGTTCAGCCCAGCTCAACTCAGCTAACCCAGCTCAGCCCAGTTCAGCCCAGCTCAGCCCAGCTCAGCCCAGCTAGTCCCACCCAGTTCAGCCCAGCTCAGCCCAGCTCAGCCCAGCTAGTCCCACCCAGTTCAGCCCAGCTCAGCCCAGCTGCACCCAGATAGTCCAGCTCAACCCAGCTAGCCCTGTTCAGCCCAGCTAGCCCTGTTCAGCCCAGCTAGCCCTGTTCAGCCCAGCTAGCCCTGTTCAGTTCAGCTCAGCCCAGCCCAGTTCAGCCCAGCTCAGCCCAGCCCAGCTCAGCCCAGCTAGCCCTGTTC